CTTAGAGTTCATAGCCAGCAAACACTCTAGGTAGGGCACTGGTCTATCTGCTTTCCGGGCTTCAGGGCTTAATTTTTTCTTTTTGAAAGGGGAAAGGAGGTAGAGCAGCCAGGCCTGCCAGATAACAGTTCTCTTCTTTGATCATTGCCCAAGCTAGCAGAAGCATAATTTCTTTGGTAAATAATTGAGGTTTATTATTTTCCATTTTCAAACCTCCTTTTCTTCTCCCTCTTTGCTCTTTTAGCAGAGATGGCATTAATATGAAAACCATCTACCTAGCTGCCTTCGTTTAATCAGGCAAGTCTGACATTTGTGAAACTTCTCATTAACATTTTCCCCAAAGAGCACAAAATGGCCTCTCCTCCATCTCCCTTCCCAATACAGCCACCTCAAAGTTTAGACTGCTTTCCATCACCATTGGCAGGCTGTTCTCAGAGATGTTACTTCTCGAAAATCTCACTCTTGGCCAACAGCCATTGGTCACATATGGGGGAACCTTCTGTTCAGGTGCTGTCCGATTCCTTGTAAACATCACTTTTTTACCAATTTTTCCTGGAAATGACAAGAAATCTTTGATAGGAAAATAGGGGTGTGGATTTCTTCAATACTTTCCTGTGACCTTTTTCAACTAACTCAAAAACATTGGTTGATCACTACCACTGTGGCTCTCAGCTAGACACTGTGGTTAGTGCAAAAGCAAAGAAGCTTTGTCCCTCTCTGCCTTCCAGGAGCTTATAAACCACAATTAGCTGTTCCATAACCAGAATATGCCATCCTAACACAACCGTATTCTAGAAGTACCAAGAAGAAAGAGAAGAACTCTGGTAGCAAGAAATAAAGGGTATTAGTTTTCTTTGCTGAAATCAAGATAGTGAGGGCCAGCCAAGTGGCTCAGTTGTTTAAGAGCTCGAGCTCTGAGCAACAGGGTCGCTGGTTCAATTCCCATGGGCCAGTGAGTTGTGTCTGAGCTGAGCTGCCGCTGAGCTGCCAACAGGTGGCAGGATGGCTCAGCTGGCAAGAGCATGTGCTCCTAACAGCAAGGCTACTGGTTCAACTCCAGCATGGGATGGTGAGCTACGCCCATCCGCAACTAAGATTGAACGTGGTACCTTGAGCTGAGCGGCTATGAGCTGCCGATGGGCGGCCGGATGCGACTGGACTTGGAGCTGAGCTAGCTGAGCCCTCCACAACTAAGACTGAAGGACAACAGCTTGGCTGTCCCGTTCCCCAACACTGTTCCCCTTCCCCAATTCCCCAATAAAATCTTTAGAAAGAAAGAAATAAAGAAAAAGAAAGAAGAAAGAGAGAGAGAGAGAGAGAGAGAGAGAGAGAGAGAGAGAGAGGAAGAAAGAAAGAAAGGAAAGTAAGTAGATTCCTGGGATGATCTTGGTTTTGTTACTGCCTTCAAAGCAAGAGACCAATGGATGAGAAATAACCCGGAATAGGGATCTTGACACATCATGGTAGTAATAGTGCTTCCTACTTTTACTGCAAGGTGGGCAGTGGCAATCCTCTTCATTGTTTGTACTCCTCAATTTTGTCATTCCCTTTTCTACTTTATTTCAAAGTGGCATAACCAGTTCACATCCAGATGAGGACAATAGTCTCTTGTCAGTTACATTACCTCTGTGTTTAGATCATACTCTTGAGAGGCTCTACGTCTTTAGTTTTTTACTGAATATAATTTAGACCTTCTTCAATTTCGGGCTAATTTCAGTTGTTCTCCTCCCCCTCCCCTTATTTCATATTCTGTCTCATTACAGTATTAGTGACTAGTCAACAAGCATTAGGAACAGAAACACCGTTTAGGTCCTATGTGAGCTACAGATTTAAAACTGCTCTAGTTAACAAGTAGGAACGCTTGGCATGCCTAACAATTAGAAATCATAATCATTAATTTCAGAGCTGTATAGTCCTTTTCAGTTTCTATCCTTTTAGATAGATAGACAGAAAAACTAATAAATTAGGACCCAGAAAGTTTGAAGTTTGGCCATGGTCATACAAGCTAGTGCAATCCGTAGTGTGTAAGCAGCGACTCTGAGTTATTCATCTTTGTATCTATCTCTAAGCCTAGCAAAGGGCCAGGCCCACACAAGCTGCAAAATAGTGTTTGTTGAAGGAGAGGATGAGGGATTTGAATCCAGAAAGGCCAGGGTTGTTTCAGTGGTCTTATAAGTGCCAAGTTTTTATGATTATTTTTAATTTTCTAAAAATGGAGAGACTATTATAGTAAAAATTTATTCTTAACTACTCATGAAAAACAAAATCAGTATTAAGTTTTGGGTAAGTAAGAATTTTACTAAAACTTAATGATAAATATCCAGAGCCAAACTCTGTGATTTAGGCTGCCTAATTTTCCCTTTTTTCCAACTAGCTTAAAAAAATATTAAAAATAATTTTCAATAATTATAAAAATATATTCCGTTTAGAAAAACTTGGAAAATACAGAGCAGTATAAAGAGATGGAAATAAAAACCATCCATAGTCCAAGAAATAATATTATTTTATATTTTCTTATGTACATACACATACAACAACACCCTTTAGCAAAATTGGGATCATATTCTGTATATTTTTGCCTTTTGCTTTTTTCTTTTATCATTTATTATGGACATTTTCCACATCATTACATAATCTTAGAAAATAAGATTTAATGTTATTCATTGTATGTTTTAAATTTTATTTAGTTTCATGTCATTGGTTATTCAGGTTATTTGGTTTTTCAATATTATAAGCAATGTAGTTTAAGTGACTTTGTATAAAATTCTTTGCCTATCACTTTTATTTCTTTATGATAGATTCTTTTTATTTATTTTTATTTAGGTAATGTATAGTTTTAAAAAATCAAATAGTGCTGAAAGGAATATCACCAATGCCCTCTCCCCACCTTTTCCTCCCTACACTCTTTTAGCTGTTTGTTCAGGTATTTACTTTTATATTTCTAAATAATGTGCTGATACCACCTTTTTTAAAAATAGAATTTTTACATTTGAATAACTATCTATTGATTTCCTACTCCTAGATGTAGAGAGTACTTTTGCAATACTTGCTAATTCCCATTTTCCATCCCTCCATCCTCCCAATACAGTTCTCTCTCCAATTGGTTAAATCAATGCTCAATCTTTGCCTTATTAAGATCTTAAGTATTATTCACTACTAAGTCAAGTATTCCTTCCTTTTTAAAAAATATACTTGGTTTTCTGTGTTACTATCAGTATTTCTTCTCAAGCACCACAGTTTTTAAAAGTCTCTGAATACTGTCTTCCTACTTGATCAGACACACAGCTCTTCTATTCCATTTTGATCTCTTCCTAGAGACATTCTTCTCAGAGCCTCCTATCCCCTTCGTCCATTCTGCATTTGTTGCTCTCTAGGCATCAAGTGCAACTGTGATTCTGGAATTTCCCTTCACTTTTCTCTGGACTCCTTTTTCCTGGACCCCATGTCCATTTCTCTCTTGGTTTACTGTCTCATTTCGGCTTAAAAAAATCCTCCAGGGCCAGCTGAGTGGCGCGTTGGTTAAGAGTTGGCTTGGGTGCGCCGGCTCTGAGTGGCAGGGCCGCTGGTTCGGATCCCACATGAGCCAGTGACGCTGCACCTCTACAGCTAAGATGGTGAACAACAGCTCGATGTGGAGCTGGGCAGCGGTGGGTCGCCTGCGACGGCATGGGCTGCAGTAGGGCTGCGGTGAGCTGCCGTGAGCAGCCGTCCAAGGGCCGATGACCAATCTGCCTCAGCTGGGAGGAACACAGTGATCATGGTGCTAACATGGGCCAGTGGGGCGACGTCTTCCAAAACTGGACTGAAGAGCAAGAGGATGGTGACTTGCCTGTTCCCCTGCCCCGATTCCCCAGCGCTGTCCCCTCCCCCAATTCCCCAATAAAAATCTTTAAAAAAAAAAATTTCTCCAGAGGTTCCGAGGATACAAGGACACCTGTGATACAATTTTTTTTTAGACCCTGCATATCTGAAACTATTTTTATTCTATACTCTCAATTGAAAATTTGACAGGATATAGAATTCTAGTTTGGAAATTATTTTCATTCAAAACGTGGCTTTGCTTCTTTGTCTTCTAATTTTCAGTGTTGATCTTGAATAGTCTGGTGCCATATTGATTCTCACTCAGTCCTTTGTATTTGAACTAGAAGTTTTTTACAATTTATTTGTGCCTAGTGTTCTAAAACACGTGGTGTGGGTCTCTTTATTCATTATGCTAGGTTCTTAGTGAGGGTTCTTTTGATCTAGAAATCATATCATTTGACTTTGGGAGATGATCTTATATTAGTTCTTCAATGATTTTCCCTTTTTCCATTTTTTTTTTTTAAGATTTGTGGAATTGGGGGAGGGGAACAGCATTGGGGAATCAGGGAAGGGGAACAGACAAGTTGCTGTCCTTTTGTTCTTCAGTCTAGTTGTAGAGGACCTCACTTCACTGGCCCATGTTGGTATTATCACCGCGCTCCTCCCAGGAGAGGCAGCCGCTCCCCAGCCATTGGACAGCCGCTCACAGCGGCTCACAGCAGCTCACGAAAGTGCACACCAGACGCCAGCCAGCCCCACTGCAGCCTACACCGTCTCCGGCGACTCACAGCAACCCAGTTCCAGGTTGAGCTGTTGTTCACCATCTTAGCTGTAGAGGGTGCAGCATCACTGGCCCTCATGTGGGATCCGAACCGGGGCCCTGCCGCTCAGTGCCGGCATCCCAAGCCAACTCCTAACCACCACGCCACTCGGCTGGCCTCCCTTTTTCCATTTTTTTCTATGCTCTCTGAACTGGTCTTGCAATTTTCTCACTCTCCTAGTGGGGGGAGGGGTGAGAGCTTGTTACTCATTGGTGCTTCCCTCTAAAGGCACTTGGTATTCAGTCTTTTCTTCTCTGCTCCCATATCCTTTTCTTCTGCTAAGAATATGTTGTTGACTATCATTCACTACATTCTCCTCACCTTAAGTCACTCTATTCTGCCAATTATATGTTTCAGTTTTCATATTTAACTTTTTTCCCCATAATTAAAACTTTATTGAAAAACTGACACCAAAATAGGAGAGACTGTTGTGTACTTACAAAATTAAATGTAATGACATTATCTTGGTAGATTAACTAGAATTACTGAACTGATAAGGCTTTCTGTGATATAACAAATTCAGGAAGTTGTGTGGATCATTAGTGTTGCTTTCTTCTAAATGAACACCCTTCTGTGAGTCTGGCCTTTCCTCCTGTTGGCTGGCACAACACTATTGAACAACCTACACAAAGAACCACGGTCTGAGCATGGCTGAAAACCGTGGTAATCTTGTAGCAACCTGGACATTTCACATCCATAAAATAAGAATTTGGACTTTGAACTAGCCATTTCTTTTTATGTTTTTTCTTTTCCTCTTCCAAGGACGGATGTAGTAAGTCTCTAGCCAAAGGTATGTTGATGTTTTTGCATGCCCAGCCCAAACAGATCTCTGAGGCGACACCCCAGACTAGAAGCGTGCGATCGATCGGGCACAGGGCATCAACTTCCGGGATTTCATATTTAATTTTTGAACACTCTTAGCACCTTGCACTTCTCCTCAATAGTACTTGTGTGAGCCCTTGCCTAATGTTGTTCCCTTCCACTCCATAGGAAACTCCATGAGGACAGGCACTGCACTGCATTGTTTACCACTATATTTCTGTTATCTAGCCAAGTGACTGGCACAAAGTTGGTGCTCATAAATATTTGTTGAGTGAATTAATTAGTGGCTTCCTTTAATCAAATAGAATTTATTTTGTCAAGTAGAATACAGTAGGAATTTAACTTTTACCCCTTAATAATTATGTGTTACAGGACCATCTATTGAATATTCTTTTATCATATATCATATACTATATATTGTCTTACCTATTCTTTTGCTAGTAGTATACTTGTTTGTTTATTATAGCTTTGTATTTGTTATAGCTGCAAACTTTCTGTCATTAGTTGTTTTAAAAAATATTCTGGCTATCCTCATCTGGTTATTCTTTCATGTGAAGTACAGAATTACTTACTCAAGTTCTTTTTAAAATTTCCTTTGGGATTTTAATTCAGAAACATGTTAATATGGTGAAAATTGACATCTTTTTTTTTTTATATTTTTATTGGGGAACAGTGTGTTTCTCCAGGACCCATCAGCTCCAAGTCAAGTAGCTGTTTCAATCCAGTTGTGGAGGGCACACTTCAGTGGCCCATGCGGGGATCGAACTGGCAACCTTGATGTTGTGAGCACTGTGCCCTGCGCTCTAACCACCTGAGTTAACCGGCCGTCCCTGAGAATTGACATCTTTATATTTGGCCTCTCTGTCGAGAACATGTTGTAGCTTTTGTATTTATTCAAGACTTTTTTTTTTAACTGAGCCATCCTGCCACCTGTTGGTAGCTCAGCGGCTGCTCAGCTCGGCCGGGAATTGAACCGCTGTTGCTCAGAGTTCAAACTCTTTTTTTTTTTTTTTTTAGCTGAGCCATCCTGCCACCAGTTGGCAACTCAGCGGCAGCTCAACTTGGGCCCTGAATCAAACCGGGGACCCTGTTGCTCAGAGCTCAAACTCTTGAGTGAGCTCTTAACCAACTGAGCCACTCAGCCGGCCCTCAAGACTTCTTTTGTGACTAGTAAAATTCGTTGGTTTTTCTTTCTCTGGCTTATGTGCTGTAAATCTCTCAGGTATTATTCTTAGGCATTTTTATTTTTAATTGCTAATGGGAATGGGAGTGTCCCCCACCCCCATTTTAAATTCCTTTTATTTTAACTAAAACTGTGTAGATTATCCTGTATTCCTGCAATACAGTGTATGTTATATGCCCAGGACAAAAGAACTACTAGCTTCATTTTTAACAAAAGCCAGCTGTTTCAATTACCTATTGCTACACAAGTTACTCCAAAAGCTGGTGGCTTGAAATAACAACCATTTTATTATATCTCATAATTCCATGGGTTGACTAGGGCTCAGCTGGGCAGTTCTTCTAGTGATCTCACTTGAGGTCTCTCCTGCGGTTAGAGTCAGCTATGGTTGTGGCTTGAATGTCTGGTGCTCTGTGGCTTCTTTTGAGGTGATGCCTGAATCAACAGGGCTTTTCTTCATGATCTCTCTCCCTACACAGGGTGGCTTAAACTTTGTGCATGGCAGTTCAGATCTACAAAATGGAAGAAATAGAAGCTGTAAAGCTTTTTTAGTGCCTGAGCAAGGAAGTCCCAGGTTGTCACTTCCTCTACCTTGTATCTGACAAAGCAGTCACAGACCAGATTTAAAGGGAGCCAACATAAGCTCCACTTTTTTACTGGAGGAGGGGCATGTCAAGGGTGGCATTGTATGGGACTGTCTTTGGAGACTAATTATAATGGCTGCTGTTCATTTGTCCTTACCTTCTTCCTTATCGTCCTTCTTTTATACCAGGTAGACTACCCTAGACTCTTAGGTTCCCACAAGCATATTTTATCCAGTCAACTTCTAGTACCAAATCACTACCCTGTTTTCCCCGAAATAACCTAGCCGGAAAATAAGCCGTAGCGTGACTTTAGGTGCCAAAATATGGCACCTTGGCATACTGAATATTTTAAGCAGAAGGAGTTTGTGGAAAAGACACCCTTCTCCCTAAAACAGACCATAAAACCCTCATGTGAGGGGTGCATGCCCCTCCATATCCTGGAGGAATCATGCGACGGCTTATTCTCCGGCTAGGTCTAATTTTCGGGGAAACATGGTATATTCATTGCTCTAAACAGGAATCTGGTTGAGGGGGCGTAGCAGAGGTAAAATAATAATAATAATAATGTTTCCACCTTCCCATTTGCTCTCCTGAGTGAGGTATAACTCTTATGGACAGAAATACAGAGTTCACTTGAGCATAAAATACCAGACAAGGGGCCTTGTTCTCCTGAATCCTGCCTACTCTCCAGGAAGGACATCTTCACCCGTTTCTCCCTGGCAGAGGTCCAACCACCTCCCTCATTATGGCTTGTCATACGAGTTCCCTCCCATGCTGGTCCAAGTAGAAATGAGAAAGTATTATTCCTTTTCTTTTTTCATATAGTACTTCTTCTTACCCTGGGTTTACTAACCTCTAGCTTAAATATGTATCAAGCAAAGATGTATAGTCTTCTTCCCCTCCTCCCCCTCAGCCCAGGCTGAAGGAAGGCAGCAGGTGATGGAATGCATAAAGGATGGGGGTGCTGGAGAGGGAAGGAATCTTTTCTCACACACTATGGATGTTGCTCAACAGAATGGGTGTGAAATTTAGTCAGAGCCACAGCATGTGTTTCAATTTTCCAGGGAATTTCCACTTCCTAACTGTAGGTTTAACCCTTTCTTCTGTGTAGTGCCAAAGGATATCGGAGATATATGAAATGGGTTATTTGCAAGAAGAAGAAAATGCTAGGATTTCACAGGGCTCCTTTGAAATCTAGGATCTCCAACTTATTTCCTGCCAAATGGTTGTGGAAAAAGCATAATAACTTTGGAGTTGGACAGACCTAGGTTCAAATCCCATCTCTGCCACTGACTGGTCTTGGGCAGTTACTTGACCTATTCGAACCTCCATTTTTCATCTGTAAAAAGGAGATAAAAACTTGTCTTACAGGGTTCTTGTGAAGACTAAATCAAATGATGTGTGCAAGGTGCCTAGTACAATGCATACCTTGCATATAATAGGCACTTGATATACATTTGTTTTCTTCAATCTTCCCACTGAATTTTGAGGATATCTACTCTTCTTTTATCCTTTGCCACCTTGGGTTTGCCATGTAAGCAGCTTCTCACATCTTAGCTTTGTTGCTTTTCTCCCAGACTCTAACTCTGTACAGTGTGTTAGAGGGAAGAAATCATCCCACATAATATGCAGAACCCCTCTAGATGTCCTCATTAAGCTAAAGGATGAGTCTTCTGTAACAATGCTGAGGATTACAAGACTAGTCTTCCCCATCTGATCCTGGAGGTCACATGAACTTATAAGAGTTATAAAATCATGCATTGGAAGAGCTAAAATGAAACATAGAGGTCACCTAGACCATTTTATAGAGAAAGAGCTATGTCTTAGAGGTCATGTCTTGTGCAAAGCCTCATGACAGAGTAGTGGCAGTTCTGGAACTAGAGATATGACTTTTCTATTACTGTAGTTATAACTTAATTTTTTGGAAGACAGTCCGAGTTGTAAATCCTCAGGGCCTAGCTTCTGTTATTTGTGAACTTTCTTCTAAATTGGAACCCTACTTATACTTTTAGCAATGAGGAAGTAAACACTGTTGAAGACATTTCAGTGACATTCCTTTGGGGAGCAACAGGGCTTCATTGAGGGTGTATCAATTACCACATGAAAATCTCTTCTTTCCCCAAAGGTTGCCCAAGGGGCACTGAGGTAGCAGCTCAGCTGGCTATTGAGCCTCTGCTCCCAGAATGGTGAGTTGGGAAGCAAATTTGTTTCTTCTATATCTTCATTCTCCAAATAATGCCAAGTAGGAGAGGTTTACCCCAAAACCCCAGCTTTTTTTTAATTGAGGTACAATTAACACGCAATAAAATGCACAGACCTTAGGTGTTCAGTTGATAAATTTTGATAATTGTATAAACCCATGTAAGCACCATTAAAAAAAAAGATATAGGACGTTTTCATCACCTCAGAACATTTCCTCATACCCCCTTGAAGTTACCCCCCACACACATACACAAAACCACTTTATTTGTTCTATTATGAATGATTAGTTTTGTTTTTGGATTTCATATAAGTGGAATCATACAGAATATATACCCTTTCATATCTAGTTTCTTTTCGCTTAGCATGTTTTTGGAATTTATCCATGTTGTGACATGTATCACTATTTCTTTTTTCTTTTCCCTCACTGGTTGTCAAATGATCTTTAATTGAAGCATTTTCCTTTGTAGTTCTTAACTAGCTGGGCATTCCACTGCACCACTGTTGATGTCATCTATGATGTCACAAAGGGTGGCGGCCATCAACATTGCAGTCCACAGACTGGGCAGTGCCCAAGATCTCTTTAATGGTTCCAGAGAGTTCTCTAGCTAAAATCGGTGCCTCATCTGTTGGGCAATGTTGACAATCTCATCTCAAGTGATATTTCCACTGTGCTTAATTTTTTTTTTTTGCTTCTTTTTGTCTCCTGGTGGTTCTTTGAGGGCTTTGATGATCAGGACAAAGGCAGAGGTACTACCTCAATCTGGGTCTGTCTGTTCTGAATTGTCAATTTCACTGTAATCCTCAGACCCATCCAGTCACCGGTTGCTTTAGCAATATCATCACGAACTGTTTTTGGAGACAGACCCAGGGGGCCAATCTTGGGGCCCAGGGCAGACATGGCTCCAACTTCCCCACTGGTGCACCTCAGGTATATGACTTTGATCTCGTTGGGGTTGAACTTCAACAGCATGATGGAGGCGGCTGGTGTCAGATGAACCCGGATTCAGGTCCACCGAACAAAGTTGCACTTTGGCCTCCTCCTCCGAGCCAAAAGTTATCACTGTTTCTTTTTGTTTTGATTTGTTTTGTGTTACTGAGTAGTATTCAATTATATGGATAAACCATGAGAGAATTTACTCATTCTTTTATTGAAGGACGTTTGGATTGTTTCCAGTTTTTGTCTGTTATGAATAGGCTGCTATAAACTTTCCTATACAAGCCTTTTTGTGAACGTATGTTTTAGTTTCTCTTGGCTAAATACTTAAGAGTGAAATTGCTGATCATAGGGTATATGTGTGTTTAACTTTAAAAGAAACAATTCTTCAAAGTGGCTCTACTCCCCAGTCTTAACTTTTCTTCCCCTTAGAGGCTAGGCTCTTTAAGTTGGGGATTTGGCAGGAGAGAACCGAAATCATCAGGGTCCCTGCTGCCAGAGCACAGTGGCCCGAATCGGACACTTAAAAAGCTGAAACAGGTGTTTGAAACCCTACTCCAGCCTTCCCATTTGATGCCAGCCCCCTGAGATGCTGGGACTCGGCCAGCAGAATTCAGACCTAATCTAATGGATGCTGGATTAGGGACTTTTGTAGGACATGGCTACATAATAGTGTATATACTGGGGCTTTTTGTATGTACTGTACCTTTTCATATAGGAGAGGGGCCTTTGGTGGCCCAAATGCTTCTTGAGCATGAGGCAGTTAGTCTGGGTGCCAGATGATGGGCCCTCCCCAATCTTGCTCTACCTCTACCTTTTCTCCTTGAAGCTGTGTACAGTAGAAGTCAGCACTTCCATTAGTGATATTAATATTGCCAAGGTCTTTTAGCCAGGTAGGATCCTGTGTGTCAAATATTATGGGAGATAAATTATGCCCTGGTAAATTCTTTCTCCTAATTTTTAATGCCTCTATCTTACCTAGGTCTTGGGGAACTAATTCTGATGGGCTGAAGGTTGAAGCAAGAAACTGAAGGTTAGGGTGTGGACCCCCAACGCCAAATGACTTAATATACCAAAGCAGTAATTTCTCTACCCATGCTCATTGTGGTTGAAATTGATAGAAAAGTGATCTGTCTTTACAGGGCTGCTTCGACTGAAGATTTCAAAAGACTAGGTTCCAATTCCAAATCTTTTCAAATATTGGTTAGAAAATGCCACGCTAGCCTTTCCACAAACCCTTGAAAGGACAGTACGTTACTGAATTCAGGTACACCTTCCATCTTCATAGGTGGCCATGCCCTTAAACCTAATCTGGATATCTTTAGACCTCAGACTTGGAAGATAGGACCTGGTATTGCACTTCTCAAGTGGATGGCATTCTTAGTATATGAATAGGCTATAATTTGTAGATTAAAATTCTTTCAATACCTTTTTTTTCCTTTCAATTATCATATAGTAAAACTGCCTTTTTGGGTATAGAGTTCTATGAATTTTACCAGAAATATAGATCCTGAAACCACTGTGGCAATCAGGATACAAAACAGTTTCATCACCCCAGGAAACTCCTTCTATTACACCCTCCCCCCACACCTCTAACCTCTGTCAACCTCTTCTCTATCATCATAGTTTATTTATCAAGAAGGTCATATAAGTGGAATCATACAGTATGGAACCTTTTGAGACTGGCTTCTTTCACTCAGCATGGTGCCCTCGATATTTGTCTAAGCTGTTGCATCAATAGTTTGTTCCCTTTCTATTGTGAGGTAGTATTCCTTTGCATATATGTACCACAGTTTGTTGATCCATTCACTAGCTGAAGGACATTTGGCTTCTCCAGTTTGGGGCAGTTGTGAATTCGAGCTGCTATACACATTTGTGTACAGGTTTGTGTGTGAAGAACACTGGCATCTCCATGTGGTTTAAATTTGCATTTCGCTAATGGCTACTGACCTCAAACATCTTTTTCGTGTGCTTATTTGCCATCCATGTATGTATCCTTTTTGATGATGTTCAAGTCTCTTGCCCATTTTTAATTGAATTGTTTCCTTACTGTTGAGTTTAGAGACTTCTTGATCTATTCTGGATTCAAGTCCTTTATTGGCAGTACAATTATTTACAAATATTCCTCCCAGTCTGTAGCTTGTCTTTTCAGTCTCTTAACCGTATCTCTCATAGAGCAGACATTTTTACCTTTGATGACGTCCAGTGTATCAATTTTTTTCTTTTGCGCATTGTGCTTTTGGTGTCATATCTAAGTACTCTTTGCGCAATCCCAGGTCACAGAGATAGTTCCTGGTTTTTTTCTAAAAGGTATACAGATTTAATTTTCGTTTACAGCTATGAGTTAATTTTTGTATAATGTGTAAGGTTTAGACCAAGTTTCTTTTTTTTTCTTTTTGCATATGAATGTTCACTTTTTTTCAACACCATTTATTAAAATGAGTACCTTTTTAGATACTAGAGTCTCCTTAGGACTGTACCTTCTTAGGAATGAAGGTGTTAGAGAGAAAGTCTTTTGGACTTCTCCTTTCTTTCCAGGAGTCACCCTTGTTCCTGTTCCTTTT